CTCAGCCTCCCAAAGGCGTGGGATTACAGGCTGAGCCACCGAGCCCGGCTTGGTTATTTTTTAATCTGTTTGTCTGTTTGATGTCCCTTTTCTTCTTTCTCTTCATCTTCTCTCTTCTTTCTTTCTCTGTGCTTTTCCTTTCTCATATGTCATTTTGGTTTCAGGGGGTATAAATACACTCCCATTGCATGGTCATATTGTGAGGTGGTGGGAAGTGGATCCCAGAGGTCCACACTCCAGTCTGCAAATATTGTGATCTCTAGATGACTTCTGAATATTAGCTCCCCCCATTACACCCTATTCAAATCTCAAAATTGCAAAGAGATAGCATAACCTCCTTCCTCCGGCTGGCTTCAAAATTGAACAAACGTGGAGCCTCTACTTAGGGAAGGATAGGTGGTTAACAAAACAAGTGAAAGCTATCCCCTCTTGCACTGAGCAGCAGAATTAAAAAGAAAAGAAAAATCCATCATAAATGAAGAAAAATCAATAGAAGACCACAGGTAACCCCCAGAGTTCTAAAGAGATAGTCCACAAGAATACAGACTTTGAAACTCCAACAAAGAGAGTGCCCAGAATAACTGGTCTCAGACCACAAATGCAGAGATCAAGAAATGCTTGGAGAGGATGAATAAAAATCAAGAGAGGCAAGAAGAAAAACTAATCAAAATGATAAGAGAGATGCTGGCTCTAAAGAACATTGTCCAGGAAATAAATGACAAACTGACAAGCATGAAAGCAGAAATAACCAAGGAGAACACAGGATTTCAGAGCTTGAAGACCAAAATATGAAACCATCACAAATGGCTAAAAAACATAGAAAAGAAGCATAAAAAGACAGAACAAAGACTCTAAGAGATGTGTGATTACATTAAGAGGTCAAACTTATACCTGATCAGTATACTTGAAGCAGAAAGTGAAACAGAGAACACCTTGGAACAAACATTCCATGAGGTTATCCAAGAAAACTTCCCTCATCTCATCAGAGACATGACCATACAAACACAAGAGATTCAGTGAACCCCTGCAAGGCATCATATGAGAAGACCAACTCCTAGACACAGAGTAAGTCACTTACACAAAGTAGGTATTAAAGAAAAAATACTAAAGGCAGTGAGAAAGAAAGGCCAGACTACCTACTGGGTAAGACCAATTAGAATAGCAGCAGACTTATCTACAGAAACACTGCAGGCTAGAAGGAACTGGAATCCAATCTTCAAAGTTCTCAAAGATAAACACTTCCAAGTAATAACTTCCTAATCAGCTAAGCTAAGGTTCATCAGCAATGGAGAATTAAAATCCTTCCCAGGCATCTGATCCCCTTCCAGACCAGTTCTATAGGAGATGCTTAAGAAGGTATTAAGCACAGAAGAAAAAAAGAGAACAATCATGCACTTTGCAAGAGTAGAGGAAAACAAAGAATTAATAGAGCATACAATGCAACTGCAAAATTGAAAACACACTCTACATATCAACTAAAAAGTTAAAAGAAAACAAAAGACAAAAAAATTTATGAGAGTCTTATAACAGGGATAAACTCTCACATTTCAATAATCAGCCTGAATGTGAATGGACTAAATGCATAGAAAAGACATAGAATGGCAAACTAGATAGAAAAGCATGACCCAACAATATGCTACCTCCAGGAAACCCATCTCAATACAAAGGACACCCAAAGACTCATAGAGGATGGAAAACAAACTTCCAGGCAAAAAGAAAAGAAGGCAGGAATCGAAATTTTAATCAGACAAAACAACCTTCAAGCTATCAAAAATTTAAAAAGATACAGGACACTACTTAATGATAAAAAGTTCAATTCATCACCAAGAAGTATCCATCCTAAACATATATGCATCCAACACAAGAGTACCAGGATTTATAAGGCAGCTACTAAGTAAACTAAAAAAGGATACTGAGCCAAACACCATCATAACTGGTGACTTAAATAACCCATTAACAACGCTAGATAACAAAGGCAAAAAATCAGTAAGGAGATCTGGAACCTCAATGTAACGCTTAACCAAATGAATTTAATAGATACCTACAAACACTCCACTCAATAACCACAGAATATACATCATACTCATCACTGCATGTAACATACTCCAAGATTGGTCACATCCTTGGTCATAAATCAAGTATAATCAAATCTCATAAGACTGAAATATTACCATGCATCTTCTAAGACCACAGTGGAATATAAAAATAAATATCACCACCATCAAGATCCCTCAAAACACACAAAGACATGGACACTAAACAACATAATGCTGAACAATTCCTTGGTCAAAACAGAAATCAAAACAGAAATTAAAAGATCTGGGGAACAAATGAAAACAAAGACACATCTTCTCAAAACCTCTGAGATGCAATGAAATCAGTATTGGGAGATGAATTTATATTTCTATGAAAACATATCAAGAAAATAGAAAGATCATGAGTCAAAAGTCTAATAACTCACCTAGGGGAGCTGGAAAGGCAAGACCACCAAAACCCTAAGGCAAGACCATCAAAACTGCAAAAGTCAGATCATCAAAGTAAAAGCCCAAATAT